TTTAAATCATATTTCTTATATAGAATGTATGAATCAAATACTTTAGGTAAGGATTTCTTATTCATATTCCTAGTCTGTTTTTTGTTTTGTTTTGAGTTGCTTTTGAATGTGGAGCTGTTGATATCAGTATCTCTCCAAACATATCATACTGTGGGCTGTCCAGAATATTGATACAGCAATTAAAAAGAGAATGTTTCATTCATGTTTCCAAGAATGTTACAAGAATCAAGGTTAACTGGATTCTTCCTTCTTTTAAATGGATTCTTTAAGTCCTGTATTTGCTTAGAATAATGTCATATTTTATTTTGGGTTCATATTTATATCATGACTTTCTGAAAAGCTTTTCTCAATTAACTTTATTTTTTATTATTGGGAAAAAGTAAATGGACTGTCTTCATTTCATCTTTAATAATTTTCAGATTCTACTTATTCTCTTTATTGTTCAGAATCCATTGCAGTATTTTTTAAGTCCACTGACTCATTTTCTAAATTGGTTTAGTAGCTTGAATTTCAAATTATGACTTCCTTTTGCCCATTGCGTTATTCTGAGTTTTTTTTTTTTTTTTTGCCTTATTTTCAAGATTTTCCAGTTTCATAATCACATTATGTATCAAGTTGTCTTCCATCTCCACATTCCTGGTTGTCATCCCTTCTCAGCCATCTGTGCTGTAGTTCCTATCCTGACTGCTCCCTCCCTGGTCTGCAGAGACATCTAACAGGCTTGTGGTCATGTTCCTGCATGTTTCCCTCTTCCTTTGGTTTACTCTTTACTTTGTGGAACACTTTGTAGTTATTTTTGAGAGAAAGGGTCATACTGTATCAATTTTCTAAGTCATTGCACTCCTGCAAAATCTATTTGTTTCCTTCTAGTAGTTCTTCACTAGATACAGAACTCTAAAATGAAAGCCATTTTCTATTAGGCAACTACTAGGTTGTCTTCTCTAACATTCAGTGTTTGAAGTGAAACACATTCCTGTTCTGTTTCTTATTTTTATTCCAGAGGGAAAATCTTTGCTGTTCTGAAGTTTCTTAAATATGTTGTTTAGAAATGGATCTTTTCCCATTTTTCTTTTCAGTTTGAACACTTGGGCTTTTTTTTTTTTTTTTTTTTTTTTTTAAGTCTGCACTGGGGAATTTTCTTGTATTATTTCTTTGATAATTTCCTCTTATTTTCCTTTTCTGAAAATACTGTCAGTTTGATTTCAATCTCTTAACTTTATCCAAGGTAACATACCTATTTTCATTTTAAAGGAAAAAAATCTCCTTTCTATCTTCTTCATGCCTTGGGAATATTAATTATGCAAATTTGTTTTTAAGTCTTTCCAGTGGGAAAACTTTACACTATGCATCTGTGCATTAAATTTTCAGAAGTTCATTATTTCCCTTTAAACATTCTTTTTTTTTTTTCCTTTGCGATTCTCTGAATGAAAAATCTTCGGAAATGTCCCCAAGGATAACTCATTATACATTTGCTAAATTTATTTTTTCTTTTTTGATTTGTTTCTGTGTCTCCAGGTGGTCTGTTTTCTTTTTTCTTTCTTTTAATAAAACTTTTCACATTATGCTAAAGGCTTTCTTCAACTCTTCATTCATGATTTCATTGAGCATAGCTATTAAGTGAAAACAGAAGAATGTTAATTCTCTGCATAGGGGTAGTGTCTATCGATTGATTGCTTCATTTTATGCATTTAGTTAAGGAGCTGACATTGATGATGAAGGTCTAGCACCCTAAATGTCAACATGTGTAAAGGCCTTGTCATATTTGTGCCAGCTTTATATATACACTCTTATTTACAGATTCCATATTCATGGAATTGCACTTGTGATTGCCTAAGGAATGTGTATTTCATTTACTTATATATATGAACAACTCAATCTGGGAGCTTTGGATGAATTTCAGAGGGTTTGTTGACCACCTAAAACATTTGGGTACATGTGCTTCCTCCTGGCAGTTTTTACACTGTTCCCACCAAATTCTCAATAAGGTTCTTATTCCAAAAATGCTTAAGCATTCAGAATCACTGTTCTGAAGCACTTCTTGGTATTAAACTACATTCTCAAAAACCTCTATATGAATGATATTAGGATGCCTCTTTTAAAGATGGCTTTCATTCAGTTTTGTCTTGGTGTGGTGCCACCAGTCTGTATAGGAGGATATTTTAAGAAAGATGTGTATTTTGCTATTCTTCTTTCTTTTATTCATTTGTCCAGCTACTTACTACATATATACCACCTGCTACATGAAGGTCAGGCTTATGTTTGTGAAAGATATAATGAGAAAATAAATCAGAAAAAAAATCCCCTGGTTTGTAGGGTTTTTATTCTAGTACGGAGACAGACAGTAAAACAAGAAAAAAAATAAGGTATTCAAGTTAGTGTTCAGTGATAAGGTGAAAATTTTAAGCAGAAGAGTGGATATGAGATTTTGGGGTAGGGAAACTGTGTGACTTTAGATGGGATGGCCAGGCAGGGCTCCTCTGAGAAGGGGCCTAAAGCAAAGGTTTGTGACATCAAGAGGCAATTGGGATCCAGGTCCTCAGAGTCTTGTGCAGGACTTAGACTTTTATTCTGAGTGAAAAGGGAGTATTCTAGTGTTTTGAGAAAGAGAGACATGACTATTGCTGTGTTGAGAACAGACTTAATTGGGAAGAAATGGCAGAATTGGAAATTTTGGAAATTTTGAAAATTCTTTATTGGAAATAAATATGTCATTACCTCTGCTATAACCATTTAACTTTGTATGATCACAGTAAAGATAAAGGTTTTAGAAAATAAGGGAAGTTTGAACACTGAACAGGGAGACTGTAAAGCTCCTCTTCTTGTAGTCAAAGGAAGAGATAATGGTGACTCTGAACAGGATATTGGTGGTTGCAGGGGAGATAAGTTATTGAAATTTGAAATTCCCATAAAATTCTGGTACTATACCCGGTATGTTATACAGTTAATCAGGAAAATATCTTATTATTCTTAGTGTTAGGATCAATTTACTTTTTCCCCTAAGCTGTTAGTTTCATTTTACATACTAGGTGAATTTATTAGACTGTTACAAATTATAGTCATGCTTAGGAAGCACATTCAAATTGATAGTTGTTTGGCATATTTGATGCAGTTGACTTATTTTGATTACCCTATACTTGATTTTTTTCTCACAGTTTAAATTTTTTGTTATATTTTTCTGTATTGTTTGTTTTGTAAACCTCCTTGTATTCCTTTTGTTATAGTTTAGGGTACATATAAATATTTTTCTCTTTGAGTCTATATGAGACGCCACCTTTCACCATCTCTTCAAGGCTGTTTCTAGCCCTTTTTACATTGTGATTGTTTCTCTTACATTAGAATGAAATCCAATGGAAAGAATTCAAACCATCAGAATAATTAGTGTTTTGCATGGAACTTTAAATAAAGGAATAGTTGTCTCATGTAAGGATGACAGCTGACCTATTTGGTCACTTAGCAGATCATTTCAGTTAAATGTGAGTCAAATCAAATTTTGGACTAAATTATTAATCACTAGTTTAATCAAAGCAGCCCAGAGGTGTATTGTATCTATGACACATCCTGATTATTATCCTTGATCTTGAGCTTATTTTATGGGGATGTTTTATATCAGAAACAGATAACAAAAATTATTTTAAGCATTATATTAAATATTAAAATCATATTAATGTTTGCATATATTAATATGATTAGATCATGTGGATACTAAGTACTTCATCCATTCCTAGAGATCCTAAAGAAATGTTGTGATGTCACAGAATCCCAACGAATATTGTCAAACCAAAATTCTAATGAAAAACTGATACTCTGAAAAACAAATAGACCAGAACACAAATTGTTTATATGCATCCATTTTCTTCCTAAGAGTTTGTAAGTTGTAAAATAAACAAACCCCCTTTTCTGTTTACTCATCATATGGGGTCATTCCTCAGGTGAGTTATAAGGCATGTTTCTTATTTAATAATTTCTAATATTCTTTGTAGTAAAGCTGTGATTTCTGTTTTAAAGTAAAAATTTCTCAGAATCATAGGCAGCTCTGAAAGAAATTGTAGAGGTCATCTAGCGGTCTTATTTGTAGATGAGGAACCAGAGGTCGATACAGTTGAAATACCAAGTCCTGCAAGCTTAACAGTAGAAAAGTAGTAGAGGCCAGCATCCAAGACTCCTGATAAACACAATTCAGGGTTTTTTTTTTTTTTTTTTGGTTGTTGTTAATATCTCAGATGACATATGTGTGGTGGACTGAGTCCCAAATTTGAGATCATAAAAAAAGATTTAAACATCCAAGTCTTATAGGGTTTCATCATAAGTTCAAGCTTAAAGAATTAAAATTTTACTGCCATTCTAATTCATGATGTAGTAGTATAAATAATCTTATTGATGATGTATTTCAAATTGAGTAGAATTCATGGGAAAGCTTATGTATGAAGTCATTCCTAGCAATTGGATAAATTAAGTCATGAGGCCCTCCCTGAATTATTCTGGTAACTCTTTAGTGTGAATATTATCTGCAAATGAATAATAGGTCTTCAAAAACATTTTGGAAATTTTTTTTATTCTTTATTGGAAATAAATATGTCATAACCTGTGCTATAACCATTTGACTTTGTATGATCACTGTACAGGGAAGTTTGAACCCTGGACATAAAAAAAACAAAAACGGTCAAGATGGTGATATTAATGGTGTTCGATTACCTGTCATATATTTAATTGATACTGAGATCATTTTTGTTTAGTTGAAAATTCACTTTTGTCCTGTGACACTTGTGCTGGTTTCTATGGCATAGAGGAACATTGACTGTTTCTGTCTTAAAATATAAGCTGCATAACTATGTAGGATAATATGTGCATAGCAATAAATCTATAACTTTCAATTCAGAGTGGAAGACTTCTCTGATAGTGATCCAGATTATTACAGAGGGTTAATTTTAAATACTTATTTGTAATTCTTTTCCTTTTATATTTTCTACAGACACCTAGTATATGTGTTGTTTTTGTTTCAGATTTGCTGTTTTTCAGGTACATGTCTCTGAAGTAAGATGACTCGTCAAAAACTCTTTGTGATTTTATTACATTGTGGTAAGTTATTTGCTGTTTTAATGTACTTATATAAAGTGGAGATTGTGCTTTCTGAGATGTTATTTGTTTCATTGACTAACAGAATTTCCTTTTTCCAATCAGGAATTCTTATTTATGTTCATAATTAACTATAAACCAAAAACCCTTTTCAATCTCCTGAAAACAACTTGATACTTTACTTGTCCAGAATTCTAGCGCATGTGCGTGCGCGCACACACAAACACACACACACACACACCCCTACCTTATAGTTGCAAAACTAGAATTGGTCTTTATATTTTGATCTGCATGTTTCTTTTTCCACTTAACAAGTTTTCAATTTATCAGGACAATTTTTCTCATCGGGTTTTACCACTGTATTTATTAATTTAATGGTTACATGACAGTGCATTGCATGAATGTATCTTAAATTATTTATTTAAGCAATTCTGGATTGATAGACATTTTTCTTTAACAAATAATGCTGTATTGCAAATCTTTATACATACATCTTTGAATGTTTGGAAGAATATTTCTGTGACTTAATTCCTAGACAGAATCATCCATGTTGAACACTGTGTACGTTTTTAAATTTGATACTATGAAATCTCCACATAGGTTCATATCTTTTGCTGTCCCAACATAAGGCTGCTATCCCATTGAATTTCTGCCACAGATGCACATTATGTATCATTTTTCTACTTTTTGCCCTGACAGACAAGCAAAATATGTCATCTCATTTCAGTTTTATTTGCGTATTTGTGAGGTTGAGTTTATTGACCATTTGTATATCTGATGTGTTCCTCTAGTTCATGTCCTTTGACCATTTTGTTATTAGGTTGTATTGTTCCTAATTGAATTTAGAAATTTCTAAAATGTAGTAGACAGTTAGCTCTCTATTAGGACTCTCCAAGAGAAACAAAACCAGTGAATTGGATTTGTGTACATGCATACCCATGTGTGTGTGAATATTTATATAAAGACATTTAGTATAAAGAATTGGGTCATGTATTATAAGACCAAAATGTGCCAAGATCTATAGTTGCCAGGTTGGAGACCCAGGTAAGGCAAGGGTGTTATTCCAGTCCAAGTCCAAAGGCCCGAAAACCAGAAGAGCCAACAGTGTGAGTTCCAGTCCAAATGCCAGCAGACTTGAGACCCAGGAGGAGCCAACGTTTCAGTTCTGGTCCACAGGCAGGAAAAGATTGCGTCTCAGCTCAGAGCAGCCAGGCAGAAGGAGCTGTCTCTTAGTCAGCCTTTTTGTTTTATCCAGGACTTTGGATGAGGACCATCCACTCAGCCTGCCAATTTAAATGTTAATCTTACCCAGAAACATTCTCACAGACATACCCAGAATGATGTTTGATAAAATATCTGAGCATCCCTGGGCCTAGTCAAGCTAAAACACAACATGAACCATCATAAGCTTTAACAGTTTGTCATGTTTGCAAATATTTCCTTACTGCCCAATATTTGCTTTGTAATTATTTTCTTTTACAGTACAGAAAATTTATGATATGCTAACACATACTTTAAATAAGCTAAAGTGACACTTAACTTTTAATTTTACTTAGCAAATATAGCAATTTTAAATTATAAAATATACTAGATAATAGTCAAAAATTAAATTTTCTATGTCAAGGAATAGTTTAATTGGTAATAATAGTCACATGTTATGTGACTGTGACACAAAATTATGGGTTTGTTTTCAAACAGAAGGGTGATCATGTTGTAAATGCTATTCTGTATTATAACTGGAAAGTAATGACAAGTGTGAACGTAAAGGGTTACCAAGGAATGGTAACAAGTACCACCAGAAGAATGCTTTAAGAAATTAAATGCTTTTCTTCCTATGCATTGCAGGATTGTCCTCCAGAGAAAGCTTCACATGATCTTTTATTGTCTTAGCTTTCAACCTTTTGTTTGAAATAAGTCACATGTTGCTGATAACTTTTAATTTTAGACAGGAAAACTAAGCTAAATTTTTTTCTCATTTAATTTTTTCTTTTTTCAAATTTATTTATATTTCTAAATTGGCATATGAAATTATATGCATTTATCATGTACAAGATGACTTTTGAAGTCTTTATGCTTTTTGCAGTGGTTTAATCTAGCTAATTATAGCAAAGCCATTACTTCACATATTTATTGTTTTTGTGGTAAGAACATTTAACATCTACTGTCCCAATATTTTTCAAGAAATATATTATCATTTTTTTCTTTTTTCTAAAATTTGTTATTTTTAGTTACACATGACAATAGAATGTATTTTGACTTATCATACATACGTGGAATATAACTTCCCATTTTTGTGGTTGTACATCATATGGAGTTACATTGATCACATATTCATATATGAACATAGGAAAGTTATATCTGATTCAATCTACTGTCTTTTCCATTCCCACCCACCTTCCCCTCACTCCACTCTCTTCAATCTGATTACCACCCCCCCACACACTCTGCTCCACTACCACCTATTGTGAATCAGCATCTACATATCAGAATATTTGGCCTTTGATTTTTTTGGATTGGCTTATTTCACTTAGCATGATAGTCTCCAGTTCCATCCATTTATCAGCAAATGCCATAATTTCATTCTTATTTATGGCAGCCTTTAAATTTTTATCCTTATTCTGTATGTTAGACATTTTCATAATAATATGCCTTGGTGAGAGGAAAGTGACCTGCTCCATTCCGCCATCTTGAAACCTCCCCCAATATATCATCATTAACTGTAGCCATTGTGCTACATGTTAGCTCTTTGAACTTACTCTTCCCAACTATAAATATGTATTATTCTTTGACATTTCATTTTGTCACTCCTGCCTCTTATAACTACCATTCTTCTCTCTACTTCTATGAGATCAGCTATTTTAAATTCCATATATAAGTGAGGTCATGTAGTTAGTATTTTTCTTTCTGTGCTTGGCTTATTTCACTTAACATAATGTCCTCTAGATTTATCTATGTTGTTGCAAATTTCAGTGGTTCCTTATTTTTTTATGTTCTGTTGCTCTGCGGTGGATGTGGTTTGAGTGTCCACCAGAGGTCTATTGTAATTGGATCCTTAGTTCCCAGGGAGGTGATATGAAGGAGTGCTGTAGAACCTTTAAGAGGAGGGCCTACTGAAAAGTTCTTACATCACTGAGGCATGTGAGACCTCAAGTTCTTTTGAAAAGGTTATTGTAAAAGAAGCAAGAGTGACCATGTCCAGCTTCCCCTTGCTTCTGATTGGAGATATAATCACTTGATTGCCCTCCCTATTGGACTTCTCCCATTTATGTCCATACCCTGAAGGCAGCCATTGCTAAGCCTACACTATGTCATTTGGATAGACAGCCTCCAAAATGAGCTAAATGAACTTGTTTGCTTATAAAGTTAGCCTGTGTCAGGTTAATATTTTTAGAATGTATATATACCATACTTTCTTTGTAATAAATATGGGAATACAGATATCTCTTTAATGCTTATTTCATTTCATTTTTTCCCATATTTTTAATTGGTGCATTATATTTGTACACATTTATGGGAATTGTTGTTATATATACTCATTTTATTTCTTTTAGATATATGCCCAGTACTGAACCAAATGGTAGTTCTATTTTTCATTTTTGTTTTTGAGGAATCTCTGTACTGTTTTCCATAATGGCCATACTAATTAACATTCCAACCACCACTGTACCAAGGGTTCTCTTTTCTTCACAATTTTGCCAGCATTTGTTACCCTTTGTCTTTTGGATAATAATCATCCTTGCAGGAATAGGTGATGTATCATCATGATTTTGATTTGCATTTCCTTGATTTGTGATATTGAGCATTTTTTTCATATACCTGTTGACCATTTGTACATCTTCTTTTGAAAAATGTTATTTATGTCATTTTCCCATCTTTAAATCAGGTTATTTGTGGAGCTCTTTTTCCTCAGAGGTTTTTGAGTTCTCTGTATATTTTGGATGTAAACCCCCTTATTTGATATATAGTATACAGATATTTCATCCCATTTTGCAGGTAGTATCATCACTTTGTTGATTGTTTCCTTTGCTGTACAGATGCTTCTTAGTTTGAAATAATCCTGGTTTTCTATTTTTGCTTTTGTTGTCTGTAATTTGGGGTTTTATCTAAAACATTGGTGTCTGTACAAATGTCTTGAAGTGTTGGCCCTAGTTTTTTTTTCCTAGTAGTTTCATATCTGATGTTTGGTCTTTGATCCATTTGGGGTTGATTTTTTTTGTTATTGTTAGAAACAGAGGTCCATTTTTCTATTATTTTTCCATAAGAATGTCTAGTTTTCCCAGCACCATTTATTGAAGAGACTGTCATTTCTCCAATGAATGTTTTTGACTTATAAATTCTCCCTTTGTTGAGGATCACTTGGCTGTAGAAACATGGACTTATTTTTGGGTTTTCTATTCTGTTCTCTTGGTCTGTGTATCTGTTTTTATTCTAGCACTATGATGTTTTTTTAAAAAATTTGTAGTTGTTGATGGACCTTTATTTTATTCATTTATTTATATGTGGTGCTGAGAATTGAATCCAATGCCTCACACATGTAAAGCAAGTGCTCTATCACTGAGCCACAACCCCAGCCCCTGTTTTGGTTACTATAACTTGGTAGTATGTTTTGAGGTGAGGTATTGTGATACCTCCAATTTTGTTCCTTTTGATCTAGATTTCTTTGGCTATTTGGGGTTTTTTGGGGTTACATATGAATTGTATTTTCTATTTCTGTTAAGAAAGCCATTTGTATTTTGATATGCATTGAATTGAATTTGTAGACTACTTTGGGTAGGATGGAAATTTTAACATCATTAATTCCTTTAATCCATGAACATGGGATATTTTTCCATTTATTTGTGTCTTCAATTTCTTTAATCAATATTTTATGGTTTTCAGTATAGGAATCTTTCATATATTGTAGTTATTATAAATGAGATTGCTTTTTAAAGATTTCTTTTTCATATAGTTTGCTACTATTGTATAGAAATTCTACTGGGTTTTGCTTTTTTTTTCTGCAACTT